ACACACACACACACACACACACACACACACACACACACGTTTCATTTTATTTATTTGTTTACAAGCTCTATGGCTCAATGTACACTGCTAGGCCACAGACGATGAAGCACTTTTAAAAACACAGAAAATTCAAATTCCATTAATATTTATACCACCCACCCAAAATTCTGTCATCATTTACTCACCCTCATGTCATTCTAAACCTGCCTGCATTTATTTCTTCTGCAGAACACAAATAAACACATCATATTTTGAAAAATGTTCCAGTGTTTTTTTTTTTTTTTATGTTGTTTTGGTCCCCACCAACTTTCACTGTATGGAGAAAAACAGTCAAAACACCCCTTAAAATATCTTCTGTTGTGTTTCACAGAAAAAAAGAACATTATATGGGTTTGGAACAACATGGACGATGCCTTCTGGGTGAACTATCCCAAGGAAGAATCAAAATAGGGCTGCAACAAACGATTATTTTGATAATCGACTAATCTAACGATTATTAGAATGATTAATTGACTAATCATCAATTATTTCGCTGATTCATCAGTAGGCAATTTTTGATTATTCATCTTTTGCAATTAGTTAAAATATTGAGTTATACATATTCTAAAAAAAATTATGAAGGTAATCACTTCAGCTTTTGAAAGTCATTATTTAATTACAATTATACAATTAATTTATACAAATAAATATTTTGGCACACAAAATGAAATGGCAGAGAAACTCTTATTCACCATTTAACTAACTATATGAGAAAGTAGCTGAATGACACATCATTCTGCCTAAAATCTCTTTTTGTAAGTCATATGGATAAGAAACAAAATAAAGGTTAAGTGATAAGACGTTTTATTTTTGGATAAACTATTTTATTCACAGCAATCACTCTTAAAATACCTTATAGGGTTATGATAATCAAACAGTCCTGAGCTAGATCAAGCTTTGATCTCTGCAAACCAAACTATCACTTTAATTAAACGTTTTTTCCCCCACTAATAAAAAGATTTTATTATTAGCTAGTTCCACACTGGAGAGCTGCTTTATAACAGAAAATCAAGTTGAAATTCTAACTGAAAGCGACACTGACTGGTTTTTAATTTTTAATATTGTAAAGCTGCTTGATTTAAGGCTATTGCATAAGGTACTAAATAAATAAACAAACGTGACATGACTGGACTTTACTGGAGAGCTTGTGCAAACATCCACATCGCTGTAATCAGATGCGTTTTAAAATCTCACAAATTTTTGCTCACTCGCTGTATTTTTGATTTTACAGTGGGGTAATTGTTGCAGTAGCACGAGATGGCTTAATTTCAAACTTTGAATTGAATAAAAAATGACAAGTAAGCAGTCAGTAATAAAACACGAAAAAGAAACTACTAATGATAGCACAAATAAAAAATAACGATAGGCCTAAAAATTAAATAAATTGCTTTTTAGTTTTTCAGGTAGCGCTAACAGTAGGGATATTAAGAGATTTAGTTGTTTTTTTGTTTTTTACCAATTATCCAAATAATGTTTAGTCCTAGAAAGCTATTATTATCAGAACATGTGCGCATAACATAGCGGTTAGCACTAGCTGATCAATGAATGAGAGGGCAGCGTTTCCAGAGTTGCCCATATACCACACATGTTACAGCACAGTAGGGCTATTGCAAACAGAAACAATACTGTACTGCATAGATGTTTCCTGTTGGCTCGATTTTTGAGTGGACTTTGCTGTTTCGATGAGCATGAACGGTAGAGCCCTGCATTTCAGCCCGACTTTTTTTGCGCCCCTCGGGCCGGGCTTCGGGCCAATTTTTACATCAGACGCGGGCCAGGCCTCGGACCTGTTTTAGGCTTCTCCTTATTTTTATATTTTAGACATCCATCAATTAGTGATGAAAAAAGATTGCCGCGCTGGTGGAAACAACACGAGACCGTGCTACCGTGACTGTCAAGAGCGGCTCAACGGTGTTTAGTTTGGTTAAAAATGATCCGAAATCAATATTTGAGCAAGTACATAACCAGCCAGTGTTCAAAACTATCGCCTTACCTTACCCGATTCACAAAGGTTAGCTTATAAAAATGTTTTCTAATTTGAGTGGTACGGGTAGGTTTTCGCGGGAAATTCGAGCATGGTACTGCATCATTATGTCACGTCTGTAAACAAAGAAGTTGTCCCGGCTACTAGGCTATCGCATGTGAGGATCCTGTAGGTGGCGGATCGTTTATAGCCTTTTCTCACAGCAGCCAGAATAATTAAATGTATAATTTTGATGGCT